AAGAACACCAGTCTCCAAACATAAACATTTGCCACCAACACAAACAAGAGCATAACAACTTGATCAATAACAAAAAAAGAAATATATGAAGAAACAAATGATTTATGTGGTTCGGTCATTGACCTACATCCACAGTAAGACTTCGAAAATATTTTATTATGCAATTCCAAAAGGTCACAAGGCCAACTCTAAATACATTGATGTCATTTCCTTGCCCCTTGAACCGAGATTAACAAAGAAATACTAAAGCATTAATGGAACTAGCAGCCCAACAAGAATACCACTCTCCAAACATAAACATTTGCCACCAACACAAACAAGAGCATAACAACTTAATCAATAACAAAAAAAAATATATGAAGAAACAAATGATTTATGTGGTTCGGTCATTGACTTACATCCACAGTAAGACTTCGAAAATATTTTATTATGTAATTCCAAAAGGTTACAAGACCAACTCAAATACATGGATGTCATTTCCTTGTCCCTTGAACCGAAATTACCAAAGAAATACCAAAGCCAGCTCTAAATACACCATAACTGAAAGCAAAAGTGCTGCAGCCGAAAAGCCAACTCTAAATACACCATAACCGAAAGCAGAAATACTGACATTCGGAATATATTGCATTAATGGAACTAGCAGTCGAAATGTACTGATTCTAACAATTTAACGAATAAACTCCAAGAGGAATCTTACTTGTGGCCTTCTTACATTGGAAATAGTTACTTAAAGCTACTGATACTAGCAACAATTTCTACAAAACTCCACACAATTCTCAAATTACATAAATATCATCAGTAATACAAGTAGCTGGAACTGTATACAGGAATGAAGATTCTTGCTTGATATGAATGAACCAAGTCATATGGATTGCATGTAGTTTATATTAAATGAAAGAGGCTTATAAGTTCAACCAAAAATTTATGAAGAAACTCCAAATGAACCAAGAAATCAACCAAGCTTATAAGTTCAACCAAGCCATAAGGCGCGTGGAAATTATGAAGAAACTCCAAAAGGCAGAAGTGATGCAGCCACCACAGTTCCTTAACAGCTCAACCAAGAATTCCAGAAAATACCAAAGCCCAATTTCCTAATTCTAAATTTCAAAACAGCTCAAACTGAAATGTATTGCAATGACCCGGAGTGCAACATCAATAATCCTACACGCATCAGCCGAAATGCAATGAACCGAAATGTATTGCAATGACATGTATTGAAATGTATTGCAATGAATCCATTCCCCCAACTGTAAAGAATAAATTCATTTCCCCAACTGTAAAGCTTAAAGCCATGATTTGATGGAACTAGCAACCAAAAATTCCAGAAAATTAGTCACATCAAAATAGCTAATTGCAATGAAACAGGGAGAACCAAGCTTACCAATTTTCAGATCAACTCAAACCATGACAGATCTGTAAATGATTTTCTAACTCATGATCTGTAAAGAATAATTTCCCCCAACTTCCAATTTTCAGTGAACTTATAAGCCTCTGTAAATTAGCTCATAAATGTGAGCTTCTGCCTAAAATATTGTAAATTAGCCGAAACGCCTTGTAACTCATGATCTGTAAATTAGCTCTGTAAATTAGTTCATAAATGTAAATTAGCAGTAAATGTGAACTTCCAATTTTCAGTGAACATATCAACTCAAGCTAACCAAGCTTATTAATTTCCTCCAACTGTAAAGAATAATTCCTATTTCCAATTTTCAGATCTGTAAATTAGCTCATGATTCTGTAAAATAGCTCATGATCTGTAAATTAGCTCAATTAACTATTTTCAATTTTCAGAACAACTCAAACCGAAATGTATTGCAAGGCACGGAAACTGTAAATATAGAACCAAACGAAGTGCGACATATAGAACTGAAACATGTAAATGCACTGTAAATATAGAACCAGAGATGCGTCATATAAATCCCAAAAAAGGAGTGCGGCATATAGAAGATCTATTTCCAGAGCAGTGCGTCATCTAAATGCACTGTAAATATGTGATCCATTTTCAGAGCAAGATCTAAAAATCCCTAAATGTAAGAGCTAAAAATCCCAAAAAAGCAAAACGTAAGGGCATAAAAACCAGAGAAGATCTATGGAGAACATTTTTAGAGCATATAAAAGAACCTAAAAAGCTTCGTAGTTGCCTTCTAGGCCTAAAAAGAAACCAAAGGAACACCAAAAAAAAACATTCGAGCCGCATAAACAAACCAGGAAGATCAAAGGAGTGTCATTTCTATAGTTTACGCAAGATCTCACTAGAAGTTTACGCACGAGAAGATCAGTAATGGAGATCGCGGGGAAGAGCGCGAGAGAGAATCCACAGGGGCATAGGAGGAAAATAAGCCCTAGCCAACACCGAATGGAACCCCTCCCCCGCGTTCTATGGATAGAAGTAATATCGAATACCTGATTAATGCCGATATAAAAACACAACATATAACGCCAAAATAAACACTGCGGCGGCGTTTTCAAAACGCCGAGGCAGCAACATAAGCTGCCTCAAACGGGGCCTAAGTGATCAAACGATGAGCGGTAGAAGAGAAAATATTTATAGAAGACGCGGACAACCAGTTATAATTAAATTTAAGTTTGTTGTTTTAATTGAATTTGATTAGTAGCTCTTTTATTTGTTAAATGTTAAAAAATTTAAGTCTCACCGTTCGATCGTCTGCACCCACCGTGGTCAATTCTAAGCCTCGGGCTAGATCTTGACAAATCACTATAAATAAAACTAATCCTACTAAACATTTCCCTGTATTTGGCTTGCTGCACTCAATATCTTTAATCTGTCTTCTGAAGTTTGGTATTCTCGTTAATAGGCTGAAAAGGAAGAGGGAGTGAAAACTCAAGTTACTATTATGTTTGATCCACATTTTGTGTCATCTTGCTTATCATGTCAGGAGAGTTGTTACTGTTATGAGTGTTCTAAAAAATGTTGACTCAGAATTAAAGGCTAGCTATGAGCTATATTTATGAATTGATGAATTATACATAGGAAAATGATTTCTTTTAATTGTGTAAACAATGAATTGAATTGCATGCTATGGGTTACTGCTTGATCCACAACTTTTCTTTGAAGGCAATTTTTCTAAAGATGAGTGTAACAAGGGTTAATTAACTATATTGAAAGAATGCTTCTTTGGTGAAGAGTTGTCCCCATAAAAGTTGGAAACAACAATAGCTCCCTGCCATGCCTTCTCTAATGCATTTATAAATGGTTATTTGTGATCGAAATTTGTGATGGTTTCTTCTTTCTTTAAAGCTTACTTGGTGGAAGATTCTTAGCTGTAAGCTTGGTGGCTTCCCACAAACTTGATTTTTTGGCGTGGCTTAATATATTTGTGTTTGCTCAGTAATTTTATCATCTTCTTCCCAAGATCTCTATTCAAACACTTGCAATGTCAACCAGGTTAATCAGATAGATTGATCTAGTGCCACGTTTGAACGTATAAATTCTCAATTGATCTTTAATAAGTCATTGCATTAAGAAGATTCCAAATCATGAACTGCGTCAAATTTATAAGATGAATTTGGGCTTCACTCATTCTCAATTTTAATTTCCTACTTATAGGTCTTCTCTGCATTCAGAGCTGTAATTCCATTTTTGAGTTTCTTTATCCTCAAGGCTGCAAATTCTCCACCAATGGGCTTTTTATGTTTGGGTAGTTGTATGTCTTACATTTGGTTTGTTTGTGAGCCTTTCCTAAGATGTGTGCCCCCAACCTAATTAATGGGGCCAATAAAAAACTTATATGTTCATTGAGTTAAGCTTAACTAATCGGCATTCGTGCATGCATATTACCATACCCCGTGTTTAGTCTGTGACAGATATGAACTTGAGCCACACAGTCCTTTCAACAGATGTAAGACCAAATAAGTTTTTGCCGAGTTTATGGTCATGATATGAACTCGGGCCACTTGGGCTTTCCTTAAGATGTAGGACTCAACCTTTTTCCAAGTTCATAACAATGTTACAAGGCTTACTAAATAACAAATTTGACCAACTTCTATGCTAAAAGCTCATTAACCTAATACAAATTTAAGCTCTCTCTCTTGCTACAATGCCCCACCAATAAAAATCAAACTAATAAAAACCCTATGCATCGAAGAAATTTTATTTAGCCAAATTGAACCTTTTTATCAAGTGATGGTAGTCATGCCCTTGAGCTATTGCCAGTCATGCCCAACACCTCTAAACCACAAATGACCATGTTGTGCCTCTATATTATTCAGTTAAATTGGTATGACAAAGACTCTAGTAATGGTTTTGTTGATGCTAGCTTCGAGAAAACATCTCTTCAATACATTCTTCCATCACGATTTATTCAAGGTGCTTTAGAGGAGACAACCCGTGATTACTAATTTAGCTTCCAACCAAACTGATGATATAAAAGCTCAGAAAACAATGCCTTGAAGCTTAAACGCTTGAAGGATCATGGAGATATTTCTTAAAGCTTGTGTTTTCTGATTCAATTAGAAGGCATAAAAGAATAAACATTATGTTGTATGGCACGTCAAAAATGGATAGTTGATGTATTTGGAATTTTGGATTAGCAGCATGGGGAATGGTGCTATTTGTTTATCTGCTTTATGTAGTAATGCATAATCTTTCATTGCTTTCATCCATGTTCCGGTTCTTTGCTGCAGTGTTTGCGGAAAGTAAAAAACTTGGAATAAGATTTGGAAGGCTTATGCTTCCAATTACCACTTAAGGGTTTCATTTCATTTTGATTTTGACCAACACCTTCCTCCCAGCTTCCTTTCACCTGATTCACTCTGCTCCACCTTTCTTTCACTTTATTTGTTGGTTTGAAGTCCGGGTTCAGGGAGAAGTGCTGATGGCTGAATCTTTTTGTAGAACTTTAGATTGCTTAATTTGATTCTATTAAAAAGCTCACTGAGGCTCGTGCAAATTAATTTTTTTTTTCAACTAACACGGATATTACAGCAATTCTGTTTTCTATTTTATTGACACGGCAATCATTTTGAATTGTTTCTTTCAGGTGAAAAATGTTGCATTTACTGGGGTGTTTCGCTTGATATTTAAGCCTCTAGTGGATATTTTACCTTGCTTTGGAGCTGTGTCGTATTCTTTGAGGGAGAAGGTGTTGCAATTTGGTATATGAGAACTACATTTCTATCTAATGTTGGATGCAAAAGCCACCTTCAAACTTATATATTTTCTACAGAAAAAGCTGGATTTCGCTGTGAAGGTTGTTGGAGGTGAAATATCATCTATTCCGGGAGTTTCTGATGCCATCGAGGTTTCAGGATATTTTGACATTTTAGCTGCACTTTTTTAACGTGCAAATTGTGCCACCTAGCATGCTATTCATTTCTCTTTTTCTAGGATACCATACGTGATGCTATTGAAGACTCCATAACTTGGCCTGTAAGAAAAATATATCCAATATTACCTGGCGACTACAGGTATATTGATGATACATTTCTATTTTCTTTAGTTATTGTAATTTTTCTATTTTGATTCATTTGTATAATGGTTGATGTATTGCAAAGTGATCTAGAACTGAAACCAGTTGGAACATTGGAAGTAAAGCTTGTGCAAGCGAAAAATTTGACAAACAAAGATCTCATTGGGAAATCTGATCCCTTTGCTAAATTGTTTATACGCCCTTTACGTGACAGAATTAAGAGGAGCAAAACAATTGTAAGTATGATGTGTTTTAAGGGAGCGCAAGTTTAATACCCTTTGCCCATCATTTTTCTTATATTGCTTTTTGATTACATGCAGAACAATGATTTAAATCCTATTTGGAATGAACACTTTGAGTTTGTAGTTGAAGATCCAACTACTCAGCAGTTAACAGTGAAGATTTACGATGATGAAGGGGTCCAGTCATCAGAATATATAGGTGGTGCGATAGTCAAGCTAAAGGATCTTCAACCTGGCAAAGTGAAAGATGTTTGGCTGAAGCTCCTAAAAGATTTAGAAATTCAAAGAGACAAGAAAGATAGGGGTCAGGTTAGTTTAAATTATATACTGTATTTTTTATTGTTTTCTTTTTGAAAGATAAAGGTTTATGATTGTATTATAAGGAATGAAACAAAAGCATGAGATCATTTTCACAAGTTAACAGATTGAATGGATTGATCTATTGCAGATATTTGTTTAGCAGATGCTTTTATTTAATCTTTTATACTTCTATGAAGTTTCTTAGATATTCTGTAGTTCATTTTGATGATTTAATTATACATGCATGTGAGTGATAGCGGAGTTAACCCAAATAATAGTAAGAAAATCAAATATTATTTCTAAAGGCAAATAGGAGATTACAACCAAACACACTGAAACAGGAATTAACAACAGACATGACACACAACTGGAGTTCGAGTTTATTCCTAAGATGGTGGAAGTGGTAGGTGGATAGAATGGGTAGAAAGTTGGGATTGCAGCAAATAGGGGTTTTTAGAGGGCTGTTTTGGGGGCGGCAACGAGTGTAGGGCGGCAGGGAGAGCTTGAAGAATAGCAGATTGGCTGTTCCGGGGGACAACAGTGAAGGGAAATGGGATTGCAGTAAGGGTAAATAGTGATGGCAGCGGATATGGAGGGTTGGAACATCGATTTCAGCAATGATGGATGGTTGGAACGGCGATGGGGGTTGCGTTAGACTGCTAGACAGCAAAAGAAAGGCAATCCTGGGCAGTGACAACAAGGAAAATGGCTGGACAGCAAGGAAGCTGCAGGAAAACGACAAAATGAAGCTGTTTTGGGCGGCTACAACAAGGAAGGGGCTGTCGGGAGCAATGTTGGGAGGATGTGGAAAGAAATAAGGAACATAATCACTACCTTGGGAGTGAGATATAACCGGAGCACCACCTAAGCCCTTAGATTGGATCCCCTTATGGAAAGGAGGCACCAAACCAATGTGGACAACTTGGTCGTCCCTCCTTGGTTTGGTCGGTTCGGTCTAGATGAGGGAATCCCGAGATGGTTGTCGTAACCCCCTTACGCTCGCGTCAGTCTCTATTGGTTGGAGGAGCTTCGACATGATTCATCGAAGTTTTTGTCTGTACGTTGAAAGTAGCGAAATTTCTATAACTTTACGGGTTGAAGGATCTCAGTCCGCGACCCAAAAAGCACCTAGATCCCAATGTCGATTGTACTCTCCCAAAACACGGGCGGAGTTTTTCCCACTTGCTAGCAGTCATCGAGCGGTCATCCATATTGATTCAACCATATGAGGGTGCATTGTTTAATAGAATTGGTACTTCGTGCCAAGTTTATCCTGCATAATTATCCAAAAGTAGTCCTCGGTTGGCTCAGTGCTACCTGACTTGATAATAGGTTGAACTCCTTTTAACTGTGACGATCATGGTGTTAAGGTATCAATCATTGTTCTGACATGCTATCTATCATGACTGGCCTTAATTAGAATTGACATCTGTCTCGCTTTCCTTTATCATTGCCAAAATAGATCCTCTTGTCACTTCTATTTTGGAAAGGGCATCTGTCATCTTAAGACTCCGCAGAAGGTAGCACTATGTGCTTGCCATCCTTGGTGTGAAGGAGTAGGTATTCCTGAAACCGTCATGCTTAGTCTGATGAGTAAATTGCCACGGTCTCTCCAACAAAAGGTGGCATGCATTCACGGGCATATCGTTGCACCAATTCTAATCTTGCGGTTGGTTTTCAATCAAAAACTTCACGAGACATCTTCTGTGAACATTGACTTTGTTCTTCTTTCTCAACTTCATCAGGGAGTATGGCTAGGAGTGTCTTTGAGTTGTGAGGCTCAACTTATCTACTATCTACGTATATGCCACATTCTTGTTTCTTCCTCTATCAATAATGAGTACATACATTTTCCATAACAATGAAATTGGTATAGAATATGTTGTAGTGAAACCACTGCTGATTTCTTGTTGCCTCATCAAACCACAAGCATCTCACCCTCATCCGGTGGAAGATAATACTCCTCACCTTTTTCTTAGATGCCTTTTCATCATTAGCTTTCTCTATTGTACCTTGCTCAGTAGAGGATACAACTTGGCTCGTCATACAATTGAAGGCGATGTGCGCAATTCTATGGCATCTGAAGCATTTCTTGGTTGGGACTATAGCGGACACATTATTATTCTTTGAGTTTTTCTCACTCTTAGTGGCTTTGTTCTTCTCCTGACCAGTCTTCTCAACTCCATGAGGCGTGCTCCTACTGATGTCTCTAACTGCGAGTGGTTGTCTGAATGGTGGTGGGTGCCTACTCTATTTCTGCTGTCTCTCCACATTTAGTGTTAAGGTATGAACGTCACCCAAAGACCGATAAGGTTGTAGTTGGACCACTTTAGCGATGACGGGTTTCAAGCCTCCCAAATATATGGTTATCGTGTGCTCCTTTGACTCCATCAGATCACATTTCATCTTAAGATGCATAAACTCTTCTGTGTACTCCATTGATAGGTCCCTCTGTTGAAGTAGTGAAGCCTTAAGAAAAGATGTTGGCGATAGTGTGGGAGTAGGTACTATCGCTACAACTCTCACTTCATCTTTCTGCCAAATAGTAGTATTGCTCCTTCCTTCTCTATGTCTCTCCCTTTTTAGGTTCTTTCAGCACAATGAGGCATTCTTCTTCAGCTCGACGACAGCTAGGTAATCTGACACCTCGTTGTATTCAAAGATTCTTTTGACAGTCTGCCACCATCATGAAATCACCCAGATTCATTCTCCTCTCAAACTTCAGTATGTTCATTTTCACTCCTAATCCTCTGTATCTTCTAACAAGCACTTCATCATTGTATTATCCAATAAACACTTCATTCTCTATATTGTAATAGACAGTTCATCTCTCGACCTTTTCTGATATTGTATCCCAAAACATTGTGGTCTACCCAGTGAGCCGTTATAGCACTTGGCAGAGTTCCTGTTGTATCTCATCCATGGCAAACACTTGTTCAGGTTCCGACAATTGCTTCCTCGGCGGCATGATTTGATTTTGGGTGTGCGTGGGTGGAAGGAGGTGTGTAAGGGTGATGTATAGTAGGAAAAAAAATTGGGTGAAGATAGGGTGGGGTAGTGGTGGATGCCTGGAACTCTAAGATAAAATCAGGTTCAGACTAGCTCTGATACCAAATGATATCAGAATTAACCCAGACAACAATAGAAAAAACAAAATTTTTACTGAAAGCAAATAGGATATTAGAACAAAAAACACACCAAAATTGGAAATAACAACAGACATGACACAACTCAATTTGTGGTCCGTTCTTGTTATGGTGGTGATCAACTAGGTGGATTGGGAAGGGTGTTAGGAGGTTGGATTGGGTGGCAGTTGTAGCAAGTAGGGGCTTCCAGAGGGCTATTTTGGGGGTTGGCAGGGAGAGTCGGAGAACAACAGATTGGTTGTTCCGAATGATGGCAGTGAGGGGAATGGGGGATTGCGGGGAGGTAAGGCAATGTATGAAAAGATGGAGGTCTGGAACAACGATGACAACAGTTATGCAGGGCTGGAATAGCGATGACAGTGATGATGGACGATTGTAATGGCAATGGGGATGCTGTGGACTGCATGCCAGCAAAAAGAGGGTTGTCCTGGTCGCTGACAGCAAGGAAAATACCTGGACAGCAAGGAAACTACAGGAAAACAACAAAAGGTGGCTGCTTTGGGCTGCTGCAACAAGGGACGGTCGGGAGCGATGTGGGGAGGATGCAGAAGAGAATATGGAAGATGATCATCATCTCAGAAGCAAGATACAGCCGGAGCACCACCTGAACTCTTAAATACAACTCTTAAAGGGAAAAAGAGACGCCGATAGTTGCATCGATACAAAACACACAAAAAACTAAATACCTAGAACACAAGAATCGCATATATAAGCCCTAGATAATTAGGATTGGATTCTCCAATGGAAAGAAGGCGCCAAACCAATGTGGAAGTGCTGGTCGGCCCTATCAGGTGTGGACCGATTCAGTTCCCGCGACTCCTTTATGCCCGCGTCGGTGTATTAATGCATATAATGAAATTATGTTGGGTGATGATCCTGACAGTCTAATTTTTTTATCCCATTGAACTTGATTAGCGAAAGAGATTATGGGTTTTAATGAGAAATGTAGTTCTAATTAGTGTATATAGGGTGCGTGTTGATGAGAAATGTATCTGATTGGATTGTCTTTTACCTTCAAAATGGGCATGAAACTTAATATTTATGTTGGTTATCCTGATCAGTTTTAAATCAATCTTTGATTCATATAACTTTCTCTATACTCATCAATTAATTAAGGACCTATAAACTATTTTTTTCCATCTTCAAATCAGCTTATTTTTTTGTATATTTTTTTGTCATGCTTTATAATCTGTTATGTTAAAATTTGATTGAAAATTCTTATTATTAGTATATTCTATGGTTAAAATATGATCTTCGTAGTTGTCATCAAACTCTAAAATACATAATCTCAACAAATTTCTTAAACATCTGGATAGTCCTTTCTAATTGGCCTTAGTTTGTGGATGGAATGTTGTGCCCTGGTGTAATTTCCTACCCAAAATTTCATGAATACTTTTTCACAATTTAAAAGTTAATATATCATTCCTCGATTTTTTTTCACTAATTACCTTACTAGCTTTTGAATTGGATCAATTTTCTTATAGGCAAAAAGTGATTAAATTTATCGGTTAGTCAATTGTCACCCAAAAGCAATCATTTTCTTGTTAGGATTGGGAAATGCCTATAACAAAATCCATTGAGATTTCTTCTCATTTCCACTCTGGAATAAATAATGACTACTATAATTCACTTGGTCTATGATATTCAGCCTTCTTAACCTGACAAACTTGATATTTAAACTCATTCAACTACTTTTTATCTTTATACATGGCTGTCAAAACATTTATTTTAGATTTGTATGCATTTTAATGCTCACAGAATGAATGATATACCTTGGAGGATAAGTTTCTTATAAAATCTCTTAAAATTAGAATCATTCTAGTACTTGTGATTGCAAATTATTTTAAGAACACTTTTTATTAA